ATTATATTATGCTATAATAAAATATATAGAGAAATCTATATCTTCGTCTATACTAAAGAATAGAGAATGGATACTTACAGAAGGCTTAACAAGATATTAATTAAAATCTCGTGACTCTCTTTTCAGAGTCTGACACAGCCTGACTGTGGTTGGTCATTAAGTTAAAACAATTCAAAATTTGGATAAAAAAATCTTTAAACCACATTCTGAAGCAGCAAAACACAGGGGAAGCAGATGAGATAATATTATTTTCCTTTTTCTCTGAGGCTTCTCAGCTTGCCAGGAGAAGAAATCCTGGCAAAGGGATTTCCAGAGAATATGAATGTGACAGTGTGGGGCTGGGGCTGAGGGCTGGGAGATGATTAACAGTGACACCATGGAGTTAAGAGCTGTCTGTCTGTCTGTCCCCTGTGCTCAGGGAATCCTCACACACTTCAAGGGGCCCCTCATCCACACCTACAACAAGAACAACAGCGTGCTGCAGGGCTCAGGGTACTTCCAGCAGCTGAGCACCAGGACCAGCATCATCCTGCTGGGGGACTCCATGGGTGACCTGACCATGGCAGACGGCGTTCCCAGCGTGGAGAACATCCTCAAGATTGGCTTTCTCAATGACAAGGTGGGTGAGAGGAGCAGTTTGGTGCTCCTAGGTGCCAGCAGGGAGGGGCAGGGGCTGACCCAGTGATTTGGGTGTGTGAGAGATTTGTATGAGCTCCTGTGGTGTGTCTGCTGTGTCTGGGAAATGCTCAGGGTAGTTATTGACCCCTTTTTGGTGATCCTGACCCTCAGCTGTTGTCCTGGCAGGTGGAAGAGAGGAGGAAGAAGTACCTGGACTCGTATGACATTGTGCTGGAGAGTGATGAGACCCTGGACGTGGTGAACGGGATCCTGCGGTACCTCCTGGCTGAGACATGAGCTGGGGGCTCTGTGCCAGCTCCAGCCATGCAGCATGCACTGGGCAGGGATTGTCCTGCCCAGGACACAGCTGAGGGGCTGCTGGGGCTGCCTGGGCTCCATCCTGACCTCACCAAAGCCCTCGGGCAGCCCTGGAGCAGCAGAGGTGAGGTGGAGGAAGCTCCTCCTCTCCCTTTACCCCAGCTCTGCCTGGCCCTGCAGTTCCCCACCCTGACTGACTCTGCCCTGCTCAGGCTTCATCCCACTGGGATTTCACCCCTCCACCTCCTGAGGCCACTACAAACCATTCCATGTTCCAGACAGAGATGTTCTGCACTGCTCATTCCGCCTTCATGAGGGTGGGATGGAGATAATTTACCATGGGCTGAGGACAGACCCAGTTTAGATGTGTCACTGTGTTCCTGGCTAAGAAAACAACTTTCTCTCTTTGTCCTGTTTTCTGTGGGCTTCAAAGCTCTGGGGCTGACTCTGGGCTGGTGTGGCCATCACATCACCCAGCCCCACATTCCCCATGCTCACCAGCAGCTCTCTGGCCTCATATCTCAGCTCATCCATCCTTTTAGCACCAGTGCAGCTCTTATTGTGGGAATAAAACCTTTTCCAGCCGTCCCCGAAGGCCCCAGAGCTCGGCTGCTGCTGCTGCCCAAAGCCAGGAGTGAGTTTGTCTGCAGGGATCAGAGGAAGAATGGTGGGAATGGTGGGGGGGAGAGGCCAATGGCAGAATTTTGAGTTTTAAACAACATTTTACCTGACTGTGTGTGTGTAATAAATTTCTGGGCTGATCCTGGGCTCTCAGAGCAGCAATAGGAAAAAAAGACCATTTTATTTCTGTGTAACCTCTGGTTATGTGGGACTTTGGGAAGAGCAGATTTGTTCTGTTTTGGAATAAAAACACAATTGGCTAAAGCTGGCTCACGGCTGGTTTGTAGCCAGCACTGAGGGGCTGGAGCTGCTCTGTTCCCTTGGCTGGCACTGGCAAACTGCTCCTCATCTCACCAGAGCCCCCCAACCCTCACTGGGTGTTGAAACTAAACCCCTGTTGGCTTTGGTGGAGGATCCAAGGTGGGAATTTTGGTTTTTCCTGCCAGAGCCCCTCAACCTTCACTGGGTGCTGCTAAACCCCTCTTGGCTTTGGTGGAGGATCCCAGGTGGGAATTTTGGTTTTTCCTGCCAGAGCCCCCCAACCCTCACTGGGTGCTGAAACTACTAAACCCCTGTTGGCTTTGGTGGAGGATCCCAGGTGGGAATTTTGGTTTTTTCTGCCAGAACCAGCGGATGTTGGAGCCTGGAATCCCCCTGGGTTAAGCCGGTCCCTGTGCCTGTACCCCAACACGTGGGAATGGTTTCATCGTGGCAAAGTTACCAAACACAGTCAAACTCCTTGGAAACCTGGAGGAATGATTTATTTGGTGCAAGGCAGAGTCCCTGTTTGAGGGGTTCACTCTGCACAATGCTCCTGCATTCCTCCTGTCCCTGCCCAGGACAGACTGCAGAGGTTTTGGGAGCTGTGCTGGTCCCAGCAGCAGGACCTGAGCACCGTGACCTGCATTTGGGCATTGAAATTAAACAGCTCTGATGTGTCTCAGTCCCTGGGGAGGTGGGAGGGTGTGAAGGGGACAGTGCTGCTCCCTGAGGGCTGGGCAATGGGGGCTGTTCCCTTCTCCCAGCTGATGAGGGCTTTGCCAGGCCCCACAGTTGCAGATTTTGGGGACAGCAGATGCCTGCAGAGTTCACCCTGGGAACCTGAGCCCTCTTCAGCCTCCTGTCCCAGGGAGGATGGCAGCAGGGGCAGAGCAGAGAATGGGACAAAGCCTTTCCTTCCTTCTCTCTAAAGAATTTTAAATGTGTATATAAAAAAATCCAATTCCCAACCCTAAACTACAAAAAAGTGATGGAGATGAGGGGGATCCCCCCCTACAGCACAGCCAGGTGAGGGGCTGGAGCTGCACCTGCAGTCACTGGTGGGAGGTGAAGGGGCTTAGGGAGGGGACATCTTCTTGTCTGGATTTATTAGCTGGGGGCTGAGTTTTCCTGCTCAGGAGAAGACATCAAAATACCTTCAGTTAAAAAGAGGTGAAAATCAAAACCCAACCCCCTGCAGGATGGGATGGGGCAGGGGCAGATCCTGGGGAGGTGAAAATCAAACCCCAACCCCCTGCAGGATGGAGAGGGGCAGATCCCAGGGTGGGAGAGCAGCCATGACATGGCAAGGGTGAGTCCTGTCTCCAGAACAGCAGGGGCTGCCCCTCAGAGCTCCTCGTGAATCTTCTCCTGGTCCTCATCCGACTTGAGCTTCAGCTCCTCGGGCGTGATCTTCCCGTCCTGGTTGCGGTCCTGGTTCTGGAACATGTCAGCAATGACTTTCTCCGGGTCAGAGCTGGGCATCAGGCGGCCTTTCCCCTCTGCCACCTGGCTCTTGATGAAGGTGGAGAACTGCAGAGGGGAAAGGGAACAGATGCTGCTGCTTGGTTCTGCACAGCCCATGCCAAGGACAGGGAGCAGAGGCTGCTCTTGGGGACACAGCCCACACCCACCAGCAATGGTTTTTACTGGGGTGTTCCTCCTGCACAGCCCTGCAGGCTCCCAAGTGCCCCTCAAGTGCTGCTGCCCAGGGTGGGCTCGCCTGTGCCCCCCTTTCCTCCTGCACCCACTCACCTCTTCAGCAGGGATCTCCCTGTCCTTGTTGAGGTCCATCTGCTCGTACAGGTTGGCCGGTGGCTCCCCGTGCCAGATGAAGAGGTAGCCCTCAGGAACGCCCTCCTCCATGGAGATCAGCTCCACCTCGAAGCGCAGCACGGCGCTGCCAGGCACGCCCCGGGCTGGAAACACAGCACAGGCAAAGCCCTGAGCCCCACAGCCCCGGCAGGATGGATGGAGCCCAGCCCAGCAAGGCGGGACCACCCAGTTTGCTTTGCACACATCTCCCCTGTCGCAGACATCTTTTATGGAAAATCCTTTCCTTAGGATTTTTCCTCCTGAGAAGCTGAGAGGCCTCAGGAGCAAAATGTAAACAATGGTTATCTGCTGCTGTGGAATGCAACAGGTGCATCTGTGATTGGTCTCATGTGGTTGTTTCTAATTAATGGCCAATCACAGTCTGCACACA